AAAAAAATTAACAATGTTTTTTTTAAGAATTCAATTATGTTTAGAAATAGTAAAATTCTTCACCGACATTTAATTATTTTTATAAACTTAAATAAAATTGGTTGGAAGAATTAAATTATTTTTAGAAGTAATAAAAATCCTCGCAAAAATTCAATTCTGTTAAAAAATTTTTTTAAAATTTTGGTCAAAATTTCAATTATCTTTATAAATGATAAAATTCTTCAATATTCAATTATTTAAAAATTTTTTTTTAAATTTTCGTCAAAATTTCAATTATTGTTATTGAATATAAAAAATAAAAATCTTCTTCAAAATTCTATTATTTTTAAAAACTTGAATAGAATTCTTATTAAAATTTCACAGGAATTCAATAATTTATAAAATTTTGAATAAATTTCTTTGAAATAATTTAATTATTTTAATAAATAATAAAATTTTCACATGAGTTCAATTATTTAATATAAAAAATTTCATAAAATTTTTCGAAAAATATCAATTATCACACTAAAAAAGAAGTTTTACTTTCAGCCTCTTTTTGAGGCTGAATTTAAGGTGTAAACGGAGTCAGCCCCGTTAAACAAGGACAGACTTATGTGAAATACATGGGCTGAATTTAAGGTGTAAACGGAGTCAGACTTTTTTTTCCCTGTGATATTTAAATAGATTTTTATAAAATTCGTCGCATGAATTCAATTATTTAAAAAAAATTTAACAAAGTTGTTTTCAAGAATTCAATTATTTTTATAAATAATAAAATTCTTCACCGAAATTCAATTATTTTAGAAAAAAATTAATAACATTTTTGGGAAAATTTTTAATTATTTTCATAAATAATAAAACTCATCGCAGGATATTAATTAATTTTTGATACAATATTTTAATCAAATTCCTCGAAAAATGTAATTATTCTTAAAAATTTCATTAAAATTTGTCAAAATAATTGAATTATTTAAAAATTAGATTGAAAAATGAATTACCGAATAATCGATTTATTAGGGGAGACTGGGGCGAAAAGTTAAATTGTGAAAACAGTTAAAATTCATTATCTTTCGAACGGAAATAGTTAGAGCATTGCAATTTTAATTATAGAAGGGTGTTATCACCCTAAATAAATGTCCGGAGTTGTGTGCAATTCTGCTAATTTTTGTGGTGTCCATATTTAAATTTTTTTTTCACCCTACTTTTGAAAATTTTTTCGTAAAAGAAAATATCAACTTTTAAGTATATTTTTTGCATTTATTCTCACCGCGATTTTTTTACTTCATTATTTGGGTCCCCTGAAGACATACCTGAAGGTATTTGCTAAATATCTTTAGTCAGATTTTTTATATTTGTTGTTAAAGCCAAAAACGCACCCTGGGGCGAAAAGTTAAATAATGGGTGGGGCGAAAAGTTAAATGTATTTTTACATGTTATTAAAAATTTTTTTTTTATTTTTCGTTTTTTTGGGTTTATTTGTTCAAAAATGATTTATTTGACATTAGGCAAGTACTCTATCAAAAAACAAGACCGCTCAGGTGAAATAAACCAAAAAAATTTTTTTTTTTTTGAAATTTCAATTTATCAACTTTAGGTATAACTATTCTAAAGCTTTTGTTAAGTAAACAAAGATCTTTTATTAACGAAATTACTTGTTTACGTATACTTTAACTTATCTACTACTTAACACCTATCAGAAAATAGTTTTATGTAGGCTAAAAATAGAATTTAACTTTTTGTCCCATCCATTTAACTTTTCGCCCCAGCATGGGGCGAAAAGTTAAAAAAAACAAAATTTTCAAAAAAGGACAAAACATGTATTGTTTGCGAAAATATCAGAAACTTTTTTATTGAATGTTGTAGGGGACAAGTTGCCCTACAATATTGATGTATAAATATTTGCATCTAAGCGGATTATATTGTCTAAAAAAAATCATTTATGCAAAATTTAACTTTTCGCCCCAGTCTCCCCTATTTATGAAAATAATTGAATTATTGCAACAAATTTTATTACAATTTTTTTAAAAATTTGAATTTTTTTGAGAAAATTTACTACTTTTAAAAATAATTGAATTCTTGCGAAGGATTTTATTAGGATTTTTGTAAATAATTTTTTTTTTTTGAAAAATTTCATGCTTATTTAAATTATAACAAGACATGAAGAAGGCGATCACTCCGAGTCAAAGACTCGGAGTGATCATCTTCATTATGTTTCGTAATAATATTCTTATAAATTGTTGAATTTCAAAAAGGTTTAAATTTGAATGTATTGAAGAATTTTAATTCCTACTGAAAAATAATAATGATTAAATATTAATTATTGATGTCTTTGAATAATTTTACAATTAATGAAATTTGTAAATAAATATAATAAAACATTTTTTCGAGTATCTAATAATTTTTAGAGTGAATCAGAATATTTTTTAGGGTCAGGGAAAAAGTGAGAATTTTTTCTGGAAATCAGGGAAAAGTCAGGGAAAAATAAATTTAAATATTTGTGGCAACCCTGTACTTGGGTAGATATTGAAAATAATTGAATTTTGATAAATTATTATTGAAATTAATTAAATTTCTACGAAGAATTTTATTTAAATTATTTTGAAAAAAAATTGAATTGTTAAAAAGAATTTCATTAAAATTTTTTTAAATAATTTAATTCTGGCAAAAAATTTAATTAAACATGTATTGACAATAATACTTAAGTTCTAATAAATAATTTATAGGAAGGCTTTTTAAAATAATTGAATTTCTTTTATGAATTTTTAAGAATAATTACATTTTTCAAGAAATTTCATTAAGATTGTATTAAAAATAATTGAAATCCTGCGAAGAGTTTTATTAATTATGAAAATAATTGAAAAACTATAAAGTTTTTTATTATTTATGAAAATAATTGAATCTCTTTAAAAAATTTGATTATTAATGAAAATAATTGAATTATTGCGAAGAAAAATTGGAAACGCAACTCTTTTAAAATTGAATTAATTTTGAAATATTTAAGAAAAATTAGATTTCAAGAATAAGCACAATAACTTTAGAAAACAATAATTTTCCAGGATTCCGATCAAAATTCCCTGATTTTTCCAGGTTGCGTGACAACTGTAACTCCACCCCCCCCCCTTTAAGGATTGACGTAGTTTATGAACGACCTCTAATAGTGATGCTACTAACACTAAAAGAACATTACCGCACTATTTCTATTAATAGTGACGCCAACGACACTAATATTTACTCTAGTAATACAAATAGTTATGCTAGTGAGACAATAATAGTGACACTAGTATAATACCAAGAGTGACGCTAATAAAGCTAGAAGAACACTACCCCGCATTATTTCTAGTAATAGTGACACCAGCAATACTAATAGTGACTGTATTAATGCTAGAAGAACACTAAAACAATATTTCCACTAATAGTGACGCTTGTATTGCTAATAGTGATGCTAGTGAGTCTAATAATGACGCTATTAATACTATAATATTGACGCTAGAAATACAAATAGTGAATCTATTAGCCACACTAGCATCACTATTTGTATTGCTTGCCTCAATATTAGTATCATTAGCATCACTATTTGTATTTCTAGCGTCAATATTAGTATTACTATATTATATTGACGATAGAAATACAAGTAGTGATGATAGTGAGGCTAATAGTAACGCAAGTAAAACTAATAGTGTCGCTAGTAGTGACATTCGCGCCACACACGCTAATAAATCACTATCGACATCTATAACGACGCCAGAGATACTAATAGGTACTTACTGACACTAATAGGGACTTTACTGTCACTAATAGTGACACTAACAAAAGCAATACATTTATAGTAACAATATCAAACAAAAATTACCATCCACTTATTTCTCCAATAGTTTACTTTTAGAAAAAATAATTAAAAATCGACAGTCAATTTCAAGGTCACTTTATACAGAAGCGCCTTTACTATATAGCCATTCACAGCAAAGGGTTAAGTTAGGTCTCGCGTTGGAGTGAGAGAAACGCGCGAATGTTTTTCTTATGTTACGCCCACGCGTTACGTACCGACGACAACGATATATACGAAACGAAATTGTGAATCTCGCGCCATTACCAAGAGAGACAGAGAGGGAGAGAGTTTGGGACCGTCCGGCACTCTGGCAGTAACTATATTGCTGGAAGGGTGGGGAAAGGGGACCACAAGTTAACCACGAAAGAAAGAGAGAGAGAGAGAGAGAGAAAGAACATATTCGATTAGCCATCGGCTGGAAGCAATTGAAAATTTTCCATGGTGCTTGTGGTGTTTGCAGCAAAAGCTACGGTTTACTGATACATACACATATATGTGTGTAGTCAAGGCCCATATGTGATGCCTCCCTGAACAGGGTCGCATTAAGAAGCGTAACCCGAGGGCTATCTCTCTTTCTCTCTTCTTCTCTCTTTGGTGCCCATTTTTCACGACTCTTTTTTTTTCTTCCTCTTTTAATTCCATCTTCTTTTTTCTTCTTTTTAATCTTCCTCTGCGCGCCAGCACAGCTTCACGCACTTGGGTCCGTCCCTCCGCCAATCTCTCCCCCCCCTCTCCTCCTACACTGGACCCAACTCTCCCCACTCTTTGCGCGTGCGTCTCACTCTTATCTTTAGCCTAACTCTTAAAAAAAGAGAGTCAACTTTTAACCAGAAATCATCAGGAATTTGAAATTCTTTCCTCTAAGAAAGAATCCTATTTTTCTATTGTTTCAATTTTTGTATATCCTTGTCCGTCATAATAATCTCTAACCGTTTTGTTGGCTACCTGCGTGCTCTTCTGAAGGAGAGAGAGAGAGAGAGAGATAATGCCCCGAGGGACTTTAGGAGTGGGAGTCTCGGGACGGATCCAAAGTGGTTGCGTGGGGGAGAGAGAGAGAAAGAAAGAGAGGGAAGAATTACTCTCAAAGGTAAAAGAGAGACATTGAAACTCAGGTAAAGGAGAGAGAGTCTCGATGGTGAATGGCAGAATTCAACGTGTTGGAGTGAGATAAAAGTTAAAAGACGAAGTCAGAAAAAGAGAGGCGAGGTGGGGGGAGAAGGTTTGGATGCTGGAAGGCGGCGGCGGCCATGTTGCCTATCTCAAGAGAAGAGAGAACTCCGAGGACCGAGCGCCAAGGTTCGCTCGTTGCTTGCAGCGGCTAACTTTGGTTTTCAAATATCATCATCTCACCATCCATTCCCAAGTGTTGTTTTTCTCAAAAAAATATTCAAAATCCAAATCAAATTGATTCGCTTTCTCTACGACAAAAATTAAGTTCGTGTTTTGGTTTTTTCCTGATACTGCAAACGAAGAAGAAAATTCCACCATTCCCCCACCCTCACCGCCCCATTTTCCCACCTCTTTCTTGAAAGAGAGACACCGGTACACGCTGTGAAACCGGAAGAATCACCACGAGAGGAGAAGAGAGATGATACTAAAGTGAAAACTCGATATCAAGTGAGAGTGCTTTTTTTGGGAGAGAAGAAAAGTAAAAAAAAAAAAAATAGTGCCATTTGTGGATAAAATTTTTTGTGTCAGGATATATAAATTAAAAGAAAAAGGTGAATTAGTGTCTGCGCCGTCGGATCATCAGAGATTGTTTTGAAAAACGAAAAAAAAATTGAGGCACAGCCTCGGATGTGGGGAAAAATGTTATTATCCGCGGAGATGTGATCCGGAACTCAAGAGGGACGCTTAGTAGTTTGTAGTTTTGTCCCCCTTTTTTCCACCCTCCCACCACCCCCATTTTTTTTAAAACTGGGGTCCGCCCATTATCAACCCCAGTCCCCCACCCAAGGAAAAAATCTCCCTATAGTGTCAACTGGAACCAATGCTCGCAATCTTTGAACAAGTGAGTACATATGTGAGAATTTTGAATTTTCCTCTTTTGCTAGCCTAGATTTCTAACCTCTCAGATATATGCGTGTTTCCAAGAGACCTGTGCGCGTTATGTGTGTACCTGTGTTGCCCCGACAGGTGGTGGCAAGGTCTCTTCTGGAAACGTCAGGTTATCGTTCTCGAGGGGATCCACTTATTCCCTTTAGAAGACTCCCCGATGTGTTTCTCTCTCTCGTTCGTTTTTGGGAGTAATTACTGAAAAGAGAAATTTTCCTTGAGATGAGAAATAAAGATATGAGACAACAAGGGATGGGAGAAAGTTATTTTTGGATTTAGGGACATTTTTTTGGGAAAAACATTGAATTTTAGAGTTTTTCGGTATTAGTTTGTCGATGAGGAGTTACTTTTTTTGGAAGAGGGTTGACAGTCAAGGTGAAGTGGGATGATTGGTTTCAACATTGACCATATTGGATTCTGTTCTGGTCGTGCTGCTTCTTGATTGTTGTATCATTGTTGTTATTATTTTTGTTACTATTCCTTTTAGTAGTCTTTTAGTGTTCTTGCTATTCTTCTTATCACTGTTCTTAATACTATTCTTGTTACTGTTCTTGCTATTATTCTTGATACTGTTTTTGTTTCTATTCCTAATAATGTTTTTGGTAATATTCTTGTTACTATTCTTGCTAATGTTCTTGACACAATTTTCAAAAATATTCTTAATGCTGTTCTTGATATTATTCTTCTTGATGTTCTTGCTGCCTTTTTTGTTACTGTTTTTGCTACCATTCTTGGAACTGTTCTTATTCCTGTTCTTGATACTATTTTTGTTGCTGTATTTGCTACTATTTTTAATACTATTCTTAATGATGTTCATGATAATATTAATGTTTATTTGCTTGCTACTAGTCTTGTAACTATAGTTTTGTTAATATTCTTGTTACTAGTTTTGTTAAAATTCTTCTTACTGTTCTTGCTGCTTTTCTTGTTACTGTTTCTGCGACTATTTTTGTTGCTGTATTTGCTACCATTTTTAGTAATATTCTTTATGTTGTTCTTGATAATATTCTTGTTACTCTTCTTGCTACTATTTTTAATACTATTCTTAATACTATTCTTAATGATGTTCTTAATGCTGTTCTTGATAATATTATTGTTACTGTTCTTGCTACTATTCTTGGTACTGTTATTAATATTTTTTTTCTACTATTTTTCTTACTGTTCTTTTTGCTGTTTTTGCTAATGTTTTTGCTAATATTTTTGTTAGTCTTTTTGTTAATGTTCCTGTTGTTCTTGTTGTCGTTTCTAACAGTAAAGTATAAAGTTTCAAAGAAAAAGTATACTCTTGAATTTAGGGAAAGCAAAATACAATTGAAGTTGGTTGACTTATGGAATATAAAATATGGATTTTCGCAAACAATTAGGATTGTATTCATACCCGCACAATTGGTTAAAGCTGCAAACCTAATGGATATATAATGAATATATTCTTTAGAGAAAGTGGTGCACAAGCGTTTCAAAATTTTTACGCATTGTTTTTGGATATTTTCAACTATAGTTTTGAACATAAACATTTTCTTGCTTCTACAGATGATTAACAATATTTTTTATAATTATTCACTAGTAATTTTTAAGTTGTTTCCTTTTTCTTAGAATACGTCTGTTTAAAATAAAATAAATAAATAAAATAAAAATTTAGAATTCAATTGATTATTTAGAGTAATAACTATTTCATTGAGTAAAGAACTGCAATTAATTACACGCAGAAGATGATAATAATCTGCAAAAGGGATGATGACGTTTTTCACTATAAAATTATTTTTTCAACTATCGCTTTTTCAAAAATAATAATACAGCGATTATTAATTATAGATACTGTCATTTTTAATAATTTCCTCAATCGATAGCAATCGAAAGGAATAGTATTCAAAAATATAATTGAATTGTGCGGTAATGAATATCCATTTTTGATAAATTCTGAAGGATTTATTTGATGTGTAGTGTATATATATATAGATAGGTAGAGAGGTGTACATGAGTCTGAAGGTCGATTTCGAAATTTCTTATACTCAGTGTGTTTGTTTACATAAGTAACATTAGGAAATGCCTTTTTTTAATGAAGACCAAAACGCTTATTCTTACTATCATGTGTATATACTTTGAATGATTCTAATTTTTAATTTTCAAAGGATATTCTCTCTAACACTGAAAAATGAATCTTAACTTTCTATACTCCACTTTTGACGAAAATTTTTAAGAGTTTGACTGTTTAGCACTTTTATACTTTTATCGCTATTTACATTAGAATGGACTTAAATTGACTTAAATCTGATTTTAAGCTAAAAGACTAAAGCTTTATCAGCTACCTTTCAATCACCTTCCTTTTAGACTAGGTTCTAATTTCCATTTTTTAAAAGATTTTAATTTTCCGTTTTTAACAATGATCCGAATTTTTAATTTTTAAGAAAGCTTCTTGTTTTCAATTTTTCAATTTTTACTTATTTCTTATCCGGATTTTCACCACTTGAAAGCGAATATTTGGAGAATGCTGTTAACCAACTGTTCCAAAATTTTATATAGGAGGGAAATTGTTAACACCTTTTTTATTCTGCTATACCAGATGGTAGATTTTATTTAAAATGTTTTTACAGAAAGAAACAAAAATCTTTAGGTAAAGTGAATGATTCGTTTTTTAAGGAACACTTCACTTTTTTCACTTTCACTATATACACTGGTCTATCATCATCATCATCATCATCATCATCATCATCATCATCATCATCATCATCATCATCCACATCATCGGCATAATCACTATGGTTTCCTTTGTTAATAATCCAATTGGAAATGATGAAATCACAACCGAATTTGTAGGATGCTAAAAGAATGCTAGGTTTCTAACTATAGGATTGTTTTCGAGTACTGCTAAAAATTACTACTAAACTATTACTATTACTGAAACTACTGTCACTATATTATTAAAACTACTGTCACTACTATTAAAACTACTACCGCTACTACTGAAACAATCACTACTATTAAAACTACCGAATCAGTACCGTAACTACAATCCCTAATACTAAAAATACTATAATTGCTACCAAAAATATCACTACTATTGAAACTATTATCACTGCAACTGGAACTATCACTAATATTGCACTACAACTACTATTAGTATTAAAACTTCTTCTTATGCAACTGCTACTAGAAATTTTACTGAAAATATCCCAAAAAATGTTCGAAAGGAATAAAATTGGAAGAAGATATTTGTGCAGTGATGGAGCTCCGGGAGAATTCTGCCATTCGTGGCGAGGGCGTCGAGGTTACTTGAAATGAGACGGACCCCACGGTGATGGGTCCAATCTGATCAGGAGAGCCAGGCCAGGGTTTAAGAATCAGGTTAGACCGGCCGAACCAGCTTCTCTGGACTTCTCTCTTGTCCCGGTATATGTGTAAAGCAAACCTACAACTCCTTCTCCTTAATCTCCTTCCGCGTAGTATAAATTGGTAGGTAGCCTGAGTAGGTGAGGTTAAAATCTCCCGTTTTGTTCCTGGCGGCGGTATTTCCACTTTGCCTACACATGTATATTTACATCTATATTTATAGTATATATGTACTATATGTATACTATGTATAAATACTTTACACACATATATATATATATATATATATATATATATATATATATATATATATATATATATATTTACCTAATAAATTGTATTATATTATAATTCTACCAATTTTTTAAAAATATCTACGAAATCTACCAATGCTTTATTTTGGTTTATATTAAACCCAGAGCCCACTTTTCACTAAAACTATTTCCATTATAGAAACATTTTTGACTGAATTTCAGCCTCGAAATTATGATTTTAAAATTCTTTAAAAAAATTGTTATACTCTAGATTTAAAGTTAAAAGTAGCGTATAGGGTACTTTTAAAAAATGTTTGGTTTTAAGATGTATAAACGGGTTCAGAATTTGTGCCAACCCCTTATTTTTTACTTGGTTTTATCTTGATTTTCTTATATCTTGTCTTTTTTTGTGCATAATTTTACAATTTTAATTACTTGAAAGATATACAGAAAGAAAATTTATTATTGATTCAAATAACTGATTAATTGACTATTATCTATTTACTTGAATCAAATAATATTTATTGGAGTCAATTAAATGGTATTTGAACCAAGAATTTCAGTCTTTGAAGCATATACCATTTAATTGATTCCAATAAATATTATTTGATTTAAATAAAAATTTAATTGATAATAGTCAAGTAATCAGTTATTTGAATCAAATAAATTTTTTTTCTAATGTAGTGTTGCATTTGAGAATCTCTCCTTTCATAAAAGAAAAAAGACAGAACTTAGGTATTCATTTGTTTACCTTGTATTTTTGACGAGATTCTCGTTTATTTCGATCTTTTTCCAACGATTTCTCGCTCGAATGTGAATGAAAGAGAACAAATTTTACAAACTTCGTATTTATATTTTTGCTCCTTACAATATTGTTTTTTACATTTTTTGAAATATAATTTAAAATTGATATGAATTTATTTAATCCCCTCACAGTCCAGTGAAAATAAAGTTTTTGTGCCATAAATGTTCAAAAAAATTTTTTTTTTTTTTTAAAAACATGACATTGTATTTTTTGGGGTCACTGAATCAAAATCAGTGGTCGAAACTTCAAAATGTCGACCAACAAAATTTAAAAGTTAACGAATTCCTTAACTTTAAAATTTTTTAGTTGATATTTTGAAGCCGCCATTTTGAATTTTCGAACACTGATTTGTATTCAGTGACCCCGAAAACGCCTAAGTAGGCATTTTTAGAGAGATTCGTTAACTTTAAAATTTTTTTGGTCTCCATTTTGAAGCCGCCATTTTGAATTTTAAATTGTTAAAAGCGGTTTCAATTTTAATCTAATTTTTGACATAACTTTACAACCTAGTCCAAATTTAGGTCAAATGTGACTTATTTTTTAACCTGCAGATCGAAAATTTAGCCCTTAGATGTAAAATAGGTCAATTTTGACCTACTTTTGTTTAACCTACAGGTCAAAAAGAGGCCTCATAAGGACCCTCCAAAGGGTCATTACCCTAAGTCAAAATTTAGGTCAAATGTGACACATTTTTTAACCTACAGGTCGAAAATTTGGTCAAATTTGACCTATATTTTGACTAAGGGAACAACCCCTTGAAGGACCCTAATGGGGTCGCTTTTTTATCGTGTTGGTTAAAAAATAGGTCAGATTTTACCTAAATGTTGACCTAGGGACAGACCCTTTAGAGAGGCCTTGTATGGCTACTTTTTGACCTGTAGGTTATAACAAAGGTCAAAATTGACCTATATTTTGACCTGGAGTTAGCATAAATTACTATTTAGGGGGCCTTTTGATGACGGCCCTCATGAGGGGGCCCTTAAAAAATCCTGACACTGCGGCGGCGGAGAAATGTTTTTATATAATAGGAATATATATATATAGGTATGTATATACTATATCTATAACCCTGGACTTGTATATATATACACAGAGGGAAAGGAGAAAGAGAATCTTTTGAACACATTCACTCTCGATTGATTCCTCTCTTCCTCGTTACGTCTATTATTACACCTGTCTATCAGTCAGTCAGTGGCAAGCCACCATCTGGCGGAAATCCAGTTTTACGAGAGCAGACTATGCAACCCGGTCCATACTATGGAATTCCAATGGACGACGTAATACCTCGTATAGTCTCGTCTGCAGGTTTTTGAAACCAGATTTAGGATAAGTGGGCGCGCGCGCAAACACTGGATATAGTAATAACAACCAGAGAAATATAAAAACAAAGTTACAAAAACCGTTTTCATCCTAAAATTATCAAATGGTAACCCTATCGTAAACTACTAAAAATTATAATTAGATTAAGGTTAATTGATTACGTCAATTTTGAGAATTTAAGTTTAATTAATTTTAAATTAATTAATTAATTAATTTACATTTCTTAATGTTTAAATTGGGTTGAAAGTTACTGATGACTTTAAAAGAGTGTTTAAAAAGGACTGAAAGTTCGCCATATTCACACTAAAAAAAAAGTTTTACTTTCAGCCTATTTTTGAGGCTGAATTTATGATGTAGACGGAGTCAGCCCCGTTAAACAAGGACAGACTTATGTGAAATACATGGGCTGAATTTAAGGTGTAAACGGAGTCAGACTTTTTTTTTACTGTGTTGGATCCGCCATTTAAAATTTTTATTTTATTCACATTATAAAGTTTTAAGAAATGGATGTGTTCCTTATGTGATTTTCTAAAATTAGAAATAAATTTCATTTCTCGTTTGAAATGTATATGTATCTAATCTCTGTGAAGAAAAAGAAAATGTCATCAATTTTTTTTTGTTACAAATCTCCCTGATCTGATTGGAGAACGACATCCGTTTGCTAATTGATCTTTTATATACGCACTTCTTTTTTTTCTCTTTTTACGAATGAGTCAAAGTGAAACGTTTTCTTTATTCTCTCCATCATGATGACAGTTTCCTTATCAGAGAGGAATATATCGTGTCACTCTCTTTTCCATTTGGACGAGCTTGTATATTTCTGCTCTCTTTTCTCTTCTTTCGATATATATATATATATTTAGATTTAGATTGAAAACTAACTTTCTATCCTTACACTCAATTCTTTATTCACGTCACACTTTTTTAAATGCAGTTTTCCAGTGGCTTTCACAACTGGGTTATTTTCACGTTACAAATTTAGCTTCTATTAATCGTAAAAGCTTTAGAGACTAATTATATCGGACTTCTTAATCGATTAATTACCAATTCTATCGGAAGCAAAAATCGTTATTTTCACCAGAATGGAAAGTAAGAAATTGTCGTTGAGATTATTTTCAAAATAATGTCTTATAAATATATAGTGGAATTTCTCGGCTCTTGGAATTTAGACAAATTAGCTTATTTATTTCTATTCATCTCTCTTTCTATCTATCTCTCTTACTCTTTCACCCTTTCTCTCTTGTTAGTTTATTAAACATTTTTTTAACAATTTTAGAAATTGTTTTTTGAATTTTGTTTCAAAATTTTTTTTAGTTGATATACTTTTTTATTATAAATTAGAAAGTTTTGTTACAAACAGAAACACTTTTTTGGCGGTGTTACTATTTGTAAATAGATAAAATCCTATTTTTAATACCAAAGACCTAGTAAAATATTTTAAAAATCATCCGTATGGTTAACATTAACATACATCCATTAATTGATTCAAACGATATTATTAATTTTTAGAAGTAACCTTTTGAGCATGGTGGTTCACTATCTCAACCAGGATAGCTTTTTTTGTTACGACTACTGCTTGTTGAAAACATTCAGAATTTGTTTTTAATATCAAAGACCCAGTAAAATGTTTTAAAAATCATCCGTATACGGTTCAGGATGGTTCCTAACAAATACTGATTTTTTGTTTTTTCCTCTTATCCAAAATCAAACTGTGCTTTATTTCCCTATTCGTTACAACTTTTTGGATCGTTTACTATTGGTGGTAAAAATTTTGTACTAATTTAAAACCCTAATAACCCAGTAAAACATGTTTCAAAATCATCCTTACGTTGTTTTTCAAATTTACTTTTACTTATTCACTCTTTAAAGGTTAATAAAGTCTTTACGAAATGATTGTTTACCCATAAAAATAGACCCTCTTGATGAAAAACAAGCATTTTTGTAAAGAATCATCATTAGTAAAGTAAAAATTCCATTTTAAAAATAAAAATACTTAAATTATTAATTGCAATAATTTAATTTGATTCCATTCTAAAAGTCTATTTTTTAAATTTCTTTTCTTTTTGATTGCAGGCGATTTTCAACTACTTCAAGCAACTACTTCACGTGCCATACAGTATAGTCTGTGATAAAGAACCCCAGATCTCGAAACGTCAATGTGCCACTAATAGAAAACAAAAGAAAAGAAAAGAAAATCTAGAAGTAGTAAAGGGAGGAAAATTTTTCGACTATTGAAAGGACATTACACTAAACGAATGACCTTAGAACCAGGATCACGGTCCATTGAAGAGCACGATCTCATCAAGGAACAGGTGAAGAATCTAGTCCGCAGAATGTCTACCTGTGCGGACGAAGCCGAAAATACATCCCTGCATATGCAGGAATCTTTATCGCCGGTAAGTTGTACACTTTTTTTATAAAGTAAACTTTTACTTTCCAAGTTCAATTTTTTTTAAAGAGATTTTGTTACACTTAAAGAAAATTATATTTAGTGCCAAAAGTTGTACCTTTTAAGTTATATTTTTTAAGGGATTCTCAAAGACTTGATTGACTTGAAGAAAATTACGGATTTGAGGACAAAAATCTTATAATTTCTAAGTTAAATTTTTTAAAAGATTTTCGAAAATTTGCATCACTTCGAAAAATTACATTTGGTACCAAAAATCGTACATTCAGTGTTGCCACGCAACCTGGAATCCTGAAATTAGTTAAATTTTTAAATACATATTTAATTGATTATTAAAAATAATGGATTTATAGAAGAATTTTAGTTAAAAACACTAAAACAAATTGAATTTTGAAGAAATTCAATTATTTTCAAAAGTAGTAAAATTCTTCTCAGCAATTCAATTATTTTCAAAAATTTTAATAAAATCCTTGGCAAAATTTTAATTATTTTCAAAAACTTTCCTGAATTCAATGATTTTGAATATCTACTACTTTAATAAAAATTCCTAAAAGAATTCAATTAGTTCAAAAAAATTTTAATAAAATTCTACGCAAACATTTAATTATTTTCATAAATAATAAAAATTTCACAGGAATTCAATTATTTACAAATTATTTCCATAAATTATTATTCAATTATTTTCTTAAATAATATTATTTTTTACGGAGATTCAATTTTATTTTCATAAATAATAATAAACTTTAATGCTGAACTTCAATTATTTTTAATACAATTTTAATCGAATTCCTCGAAAAATGTTATTATTCTTAAAAATTTTATTAAAATTTATCAAAGATATTCAATTATTTTAAAAACCTTTGCTACAATTTATTTATTAGAATTTAAGTATTATTTTCAATACATTTTTAATTAAATTTCTTGTAAAGAATTAAATTATTTTCAAAAAATTTAATGAAATTCTTTTTGTAACAATTCAATTTTTTTCAAAAATCGTCAAAATTTCAATTATCTTTATAAATAATAAAAATTTCCTCGGAAATTCAATTATTTTTAATACAATTTTCATCTAACTTTCTAAGTTAAATTTTTAAGCGGTTTTCGAAAATTTGCTTCACTTCAAGAAAATTATATTTGTTGCTGCAAATAAAAGTGAATGGCGAGGTAAACATTTTCAAAGTAATAAAAATTTGCCCCTTAACCTCGAGTAATAAATTTTAAGAATACCAAAAGGATTTGGGAATTACTCCCTTGAAAAAAAGAGTCAAATTTATGTCCTGCCCGGAAAAAAAAATTATTGTATTGTGAATAAAAAATAATTTTTCTCCCAGAAACAACATTTATGTATAGAAAATATTTCTTAAAGAAAGATTAAAAAGAACATTTCTTAGAGTATACATTTTTCGAAAAAACCAATTTTCTCGACCCTTTTACGATTATTATTTTACAATTTTTTTTTAAGGGAGGGGGGCTTGACCCAAATCATATAACAAACTGAATTCCTTATTATGGTATTTCACCTTATTCACCACCTTATATACACATATAAACCCCTCGGTATATTTTCTCTGCTTCTGTGGCTCTCCAACTTTTACCTCCCGTTGCGCTGAATAACGAGACTGGTTGACCGCAGCAGTCGAGCTCTCTTTTCTTTAGACAAAATCTTTTCCCTCTATAATAAAACACAAGAAAAAATTTCAGAAAAATTGTTACACACCATTAACAATAGACAATTTTCTCTTTTCTTTTTTATTTTTTCAAAAAAAAAACACACTTTTTTTTCCCTTTCAATATAAATATTAAACCTACCTCTTGAAGTATTAGAATTTTCATAATATTGAATTTCTTTAATCAGTTTGTTTTGCAATTCAATTGAATGGAAAAAAAACAAAAAAAATTTTTTTTGGATTTATTTTTTGCGTTTTTCTTTTCACAAAGACACTTTGCATTTTAAGAGAGGCTTATCATAATATCATTAATAAATCAAAGTTGGTAAATGACGCATGGTGGAAAAAATTTATAATTATATAGACGTTTATATTTTGAATTATTGCTGACATAATACGGCACTGTGTGCGCGATATATAGCGTCATACGATTATAATCTCTTTTTTCAGTTTTTTATTTTTTTTTTAAATATTTTTGTTATGATGCGCATTCTAACGAAAACATGTGACTAATAGGAAATTTTTTTCTACTAAAACTGTATCTTAAATTTGGAGGTTCGGTTCGCCTCTTGATCTTGAAATTATAACCCAAATTTTAAGATATACCTTCAAGATTTTATTATATTTTGAGATGTTTAAAATATGTCTCTATGACGGAGAATTTTTTAAAATTCGGAAATCAATATTTTGAAATGTACTGATAACTTATGTTCTAAATTTTGAGGTTATATGTTCGCCTAGTGCATTTAAAATTTTGCCCTAAATTTTAAGATATACGTTTGAAGTGGGACCTTTAAATTTTGACCTTAATATTAAGTTTATCTTCGCCTCAAGACCTCAATTTTAAAATTTAGATCTAAATTTTAAGAACGATTATATTTGTCTCTTGACTTAGGAATTATGACCTAAATTTATGTGCGCCTACTTTAAAACTTTGACCTAAATTTTAATCCACACTTTTGGAGTACATAACCTTTGTATATTAACCTAAATTTTTAAATGTTCCCAACTAGACCTACAAATTTTGACCTAAATTTTAAGATCGAATTATATTTGCCTCTTGACCTAAAAATATTGCTTTAATTTTAAGGTTATGTTCGACACTAAACTGGATAATATTTACAGAAATTTCAAACCGAAGATTTTAATCTTATTCGTAACTTTTGACCTAAATTTTCAGGTTATATTCTCTTTAGACCTAAATTTTAAGATTTGTCGCACTTTCGACCTAAATTTTTCGGATATATTCGCATGTTGACTACAGAATTGAAACCGACTCTATATTTTGACCTAAATTGACCTAAAGGTGTTCGTGCGGTGCAAGATTTATAACTTTCGACCTTTAAATTTGTGGGACTTTAAGGTTACGTTCGACTTTTGACCTGATTTTTTGACCAAAAATTGACCTAAAATTTGGGGGTTTTATTCGTTTTTTATACATACTTATTTTAAATCTAAATAAAAATAAATCATTCTACGTTAAATTTTTTAAATTCTTAAAAATATCGACGGTTGAGTGAATGCATAAAATTTTTTTTTTAATTTTTATTTTGGTCTGGGCTATTTTTTGAATAAAATTCGAGGTTAATTTGAGAAAAAAAAAGATTTTATAAAAATATTTACAGTAATGAGGGATTTTTATTATTTTTTTATTTCGTTTGGGTATACATTAATTAAAGTTGATTGTTTGAGTTTTAAAAAAAGAGGAGTCGTTTTTTTAAATCTGCGAGAGTTCTTAGAGACGCGCGAATGGCGGAGGCACCATTCGAGAATTCTTAACGACTTGCGGACCCGCACAGATTCCCTCCTCTGGAGGCCATTATCGTTAACATTGCCACCATGGAAATTTTAGGTCTCTCTCTCTCTCTCTCTTTCTCCAAATTGTCACTTATACTTCTCGACGTACACTGACTTGCAAATCGATTTAAATTCTCGTAATTTATTATTACGTAAGTTCGTTTTTTTTATTTTAAAAAATTATTTTTTTTCTAAATTATTTTTTTTAAATTATTTTTTTTTAAATTATTTTTTTTGCATTATTTTTTTAATAAAAGATTTTTTTTAATAATAGTAAAATTTATTTTATCTACTAAATTTTACTAAATTTATGATAAAAAATATATTTTTTGCTTTCAAATCATAATTTTTCAATTTTCGTTTTTTATATATCCTTCACTTAAAAAGTAAGGTAATTAATGAAGAGAAAAAATATGGCAAAATTTATCGAGTTGGGAAACATTTAAAAAGACGTAAGTGGAATAATTGTTGTTCCTTTTTGCCACATTCAATAAATCGTCGCCAAGCGACAAATGTATATATACAATATATAAATGTGCCGCGTGAAAAGTAAAAATGAAAACGAATTGCAATAATAATTTCAAATGTTGTGTGCTTTCCAAGTAAAGAGTTGACACTAAAATACTTTCCGAAATCAATTGCCTGTTAAAGTATATAGAGAGAAAAAAATAAAATACAAAAAAAACAGTAGAACGACATAGATTAGACGTTTAAACGCTTTTGCTCTATTACATCGATGCGCGAGCAGTAATAATTGATGACTTTGTAACTGGCACCACTTTAGTTTCGAGCAGCTCAATTATTTCAATCTGATTCAAAAGAGCCCTGCGGCCTAATTAGTTTCGCTCTATCATACCTATATATATTTTATATGGCCACTTCACTCTTCAGAGAATTAAGGTAGATTGATACAGGAAGATATGGACACGATATAAATATATACGCGCGGAATCATTAAAATAGTGAGATAAAAAGTTTCTTAAAATTTTTTAATTTTCGCATTTTTAATGAAAACGCATTTTTGGTATTTAATAATAACAAACTAAAATTTAAATTTTTATTAAAATTTTAATAAATTTTTTTTATTTAAATTTATATTTTGAAATGTACTGATAACTTATGTCCTAAATTTTGAGGTTATGTTCGCCTAGTACATTTAAAATTTTGCCCTAAATTTTAAGATATACGTTTGAAGTGGGACCTTTAAATTTTGACCTTAATATTAAGTTTATCTTTGCCTCAAGACGTTTATCTTCGCCTATAAAACAACAAGATCTTTTTATTTAAAATTAATATTTAAAAATATTGAAAATATTAAAAATATTAAAGGTTGTTCGGTATAAAATAAATGTGACCTCATTTTTAGGTTATGTTAAGGATCGTTCATACGTCACGCTAGTTTGGACTAATTTTTAACCCTTACCCCACATTCGTGAGTAGATGCGCGCGCACATAACTTCAGCGATCCTATCTATAAACTGAGATATTTTCGAAAGACCCTTATTTTAGTCGATTAAATTCTTTTTTTTCAAAAATTATTAGAATAAATTTTAAGGGGCATATAATTTATCCTGATGAGCAAAGTGGATAAAAGTGAAGGAGCTTTGAAATCCGGGGGCGCGTAGTCTGGACCTCAAGGCCCTTCTTCCCTCTCCATCTGTGTGTCCCCCTTCGCTCCACATAGTACACAGCATACTTAATCTTAATGGAAGTTTCGTTTCTGAGTCATGGACATCCCTGGGCTCATGTGCACATAAATTTTAAAATTGATAATTAATTTTCAAAATTGCAAATTATTTTTAAATTATGCAAGGCATAATACATAACCTTAAAATCTAAATCTTAAAAATATAAGCTTTAAAATGTTTAAATTCCTGAAAGTTTTGTGATTTTGCAAGGCGTCTTCATAATATAACCTTAAAATTAAAACGTTTCCACTGTTTTTCGAGGCCTATGTCAAGTGAATAGGCAGAGGGTTAAACTAAAGATCGTAGTAGAAACATAACCCCAAAGATTAGTTTTTAACATCAAGGCCATATTTTTTGAACTTCAAGACCTTTTTGTCTCAAACTTTTAAAAGTTTGGGTTCATTATTCGAGGTTGGGATAAATTATTTTGGTATGGAGTCAAAAGTTCCAATTCCGAAGGGCCCAAATTATTATTTTCCCAAATTAAATTTTTTCCAAAATATTATTTTTCCAAAGACCATTTTTACCAAAGTATTTTTTTTCCAATCGTCGTTTTTTACAAACATTGTTTTTTGAAATATTTTTCAAATTTCAAAGTACAACTTCACGTCAGGAAACTTTCAGTTGTTATTTAATTATCGTTGTTATTTTCATAAATTGTCCTTCGACGTGTGCTCATTCCAAAATCATGTTGTGAAATTAAAAATTGTATTCAAATTAAAAATAGTAATCAGTGAAATTGTATTAAATTGTAAAGTATATGAAACACTTTATTTAAATTAGAAAATAGTGAACAGTAAAATTATATTTTTGATTAATTATGGCAGAAATATTACAAGTCGGAAAAAAAAATTATTTACATATCGAAGGATTTCTATATTGCAAGCATTCGGATGGAAAGTTATATAAAATATATTTAATTGTTTTAAAAATAAAAAAAAATAAATATAACTAATATTACTAAAATTAACTAACATTATAGGTTACTTATGTTCGCGGTAATCGCCGAAGACAGGATTTTTAATATCGTTCTAAATTTTCAAGATTGTGTGGATAATAATGACATTCTCGGATATCTTAGGGCCATCGGCTACAATTTACATTTTTAAACTTATTTTTTCAAACAAACACTTTTTATTTTGGAAATTTTATACTTTGGTAAATTTATATTTTGGAACTTTTGTACTTTGGAAAAATAAATTTTGGATATTTTCATTTTGGAACTTTTTTCTTGGAACTTTTCGATTGGAACTTCCGTTTTGGAACTTTTGTACCCCAATCATTATTTTTACCCTTAAAATTAAGGCTGTTTTACAATATCTTAATTTCAGTTAAAAAAGTTTTAAAATAACTTTGTAAAACAACCTTAATTTTAAAGGGCCATCCAGAGATATTACGATTTTTCATAAAAATCCAAATTTTCATGCAAAAGTTAAGTATTTCACTCACGCGAGCATTATATACGCGCATTTATGTAAGAGAAAAAAAATCATTATTACCGTTGTTTACCACAATTTTGCAGACGCGTATACACAAAACCGCATCAAAATTAAAATAAAAAGTCTATAACGGATATTGACTGTGTCATTACTTATTTTCTTTTTTCCATTCATTACAAATTGTAGACGTGCAAATTATTATTATATCTATGTATATGTATATACTCGCACCACAAGAATAAGTGAATGTTTAAAGTTAGTTGCAAATGAACGCCAATTGAAAACATTCAAATAGTGTCTGGTTTGGGTTTGTATATAGTTAAAACAATATATAAATGATGTATGCGCCGTTTATAGGCTTTCTTTTGCTAATTAACTCTCATTGTAGAAAGACTTTTATTTCTTACTATTTGCATCTCGTAGTGTCTAGAATTCTGGACTAAATTTTTTTATCAAATTTTTTTATATTATGTTAGTGTTATAGTTTGTTAATTTTATAGCAAACGTTGCTAAGGTAGCGGAGACCATAGCAACTATAAGGTATAGTAATTGCTACTATACAGCAAACCGTTGTTATGGTAATCGTTACCTTAGCAACTGTAGTCATAGTAACCGTTACCATATATAGCAACCGTTGCTATATGGTAACCGATACCCTATAATTTTATAACCAAGCTAAGTTACTTTCATTTCTGTTAATAAAATATTCTCCCAAAATTAAGTTTCAAGGCAAATTATCCACTAAAATGGAAAATTTAACATTCAATAACGAAAGAATCGCACATTAAAAAACTTTTTCTCGTTACCCTCTTTTCATAAATACGCAAAATCGAAATTTTATTACATAATACCACCTACTGTATTTTCATTTCCACTTGATTCGAATTTATAATAAATAATAAGGAATAATAATCGTTTCGAGTACATATATATATTTTTAGCACAAGTCCACAATATTCATAATGAGGTATTAAATTTTGTGACTCTGGGAAAAATTATGGCTCATCTTGTATATATATATATATATATATATATATATATATATATATATTAGGTGCTTGTGTGAGTGTGCGTGTGTCATTTTATGTACCAATCGTGCCAGTTTCTCGAAATCGTAGATTTCAAAGATTTTTTTTTTATTTATCTTGTCAATAAAATATATCAAAGTCTCTCGAGATCATTTTTACGCAATTTTATGCTTATTAAATGAAAAAAATATTTTATATTTTACATTCACGTGTAGAAAGTCTTTGAAAAAGACTTTTGCTTATTATTGATCGGTTGATCTTCAAAAGGTAATTTTTTTAAGTACTCTAGCAATGCTAATGAATTATCATGAAACATTCATATCTGCGGAATTATTAATTTTATTATTGTCGAGATTCCGAGAGTGGAGGTTTAGTTTGATTATTATACTTTCATTTATTCAGGTCTTGTGTTTTATTATTATGTTTATTATTATATTTATTACTATAAATATGGTCCGGTTAAAAATTTACTAGAATGACAAGCAGGGTTGGGTTGCTTTAAGTAACTTTTTATTGTAAAATACTTATTTTTGATGTTCTGGAACATTTGAAGAATATGTCTTTTGTAAAGGAATTAAGAATTTTTGACAATTAGATTGTTTTTTAATTATAAGGATTGCTAATTATTAGGGGGTTTTACATTCTCATTTTTCTTAAAAACAGGAGGTCCCAGTGTCTCCGGCGTCATCATTGAGCAATCAAAATCAAAATGACAGTGAGCACACGTTACTGGCGACGATGCAACCGGTTAATGTTCTCGATCTCCATGAACCACCGGGACATCCACTTCATTTAAAATATCATCATCATCATCACAATCATCATCGACATCACCATCATCATCAGCATCATCATTCGCATATTCAGCAAGACGACGATCATTCCCGTGGTCCTGACGATCAGGACGATCGAGTAACACCCGAATCGGCTGGTAACAATTCAAATTTGGCAGTTGGCGAACACAAAATGATTGACCTCATCTACAATGATGGACAAAAAACAATCATGTACACACATGACAAGGAGATTATTTACGAGAACGAGGCTGATAGGGTACAAGTCGTAGAATATCCACCACCGCCACCCTCACCACCATCGCCATCACCGCCGCCAAGAGGTGGCCTAGTGCCCGTCAATTGTGTCACACCAAGAACAACATCAACTCTTCATTTACACTATCCTCAATTGCAATTACAACACGATGACGATTTACCAAGAGGCGTTTCAACAGTGTCCAATGTCTCGAATTGCACCGCTGGAACAACAACAACCACCGTTTTGGTACTATCCGAACTTGTTGCCGCCGATCCTACTGCAAGTGCTGCCGCCGCACAACAATTGACACTCACAGCTGCATCTCTTCGTGCTGGGTAAGTTTTTATATTTTTTGTAAATTTTCTAAAAAATTAAGAATCAAAATTTTTTTTTCTTTCGATGGGAGATAAATACTTCTATTTTCTCTCATTGTAACCATCAGTGAAAGATCTTGCAATTCACGTTAAATCGTTTAACGCCAGAGGGAATTCTGGTCTCGGTCATACCTCGTAAAAGCCCGCCGGTTATTATCGTCGTTGTCGTCGTCGTCTCGCTCGCTTGCCACTCATACAACACTTAAACAAGAAATCAACCTTCCCCCTCTCACTCTCTCACCCCTTACCCAATTCATACGCGATTCTTGACATTTTTCTTCTCTCATTTTCCACTTTGTGACCTTTGCCGACGCGCACTTGACTTATACCTCACTACTAATCGACCTCGATAACGTACTATGAAAAAAATTATAAAAAACGAAATTCTTAACCGAGAAAACAGGAATAATCCATAAGGGTCATTGGCACGGACATGCTCATGCTCTCCCGAATCTAACATTTTATTTAAAATTTTCTAAATACTTTTCCATACTTTAATCTTTTAAATACTTTTTTAACCCTTTACTCTCACCTGTCTAGACTTACCCCCCACTCTAACGGTTTTAAATATGATTCGCATAGTCCCCAACAGACTACAGGTTTGTTGTTTTTTGTCGAGCATTTAATTATTTTTTTCTTCATTTAAATTGTGTCTTCTCGTTTCCTACAAAAACATTTGTACTCTAAACCTTTCAATGTAAGAGGGTTCGTTTTTAAATACACATAAATGATAAAAAAGTAACAACTAGGGGAGGGGGGAAAGAAAGGGGTGGGATAATTATGCAAAAATTGTCGAATACAACATACGAGATACATTTGTGTTTGTGTGTTCAATATCTTCACGAAACGATTAACAATTATTACACTAACACAAATATGTGAGGCGTGTTCAGGGTGCGTGTAATAGCGAAAGCGGCGCGCGGAGTAAGTCACGTTGCACGATAGAATTTATTATTGCGCTGCATTCATACTTATATAGTTGCATGCGTATACATGGGTAACCAACTTACGAACGATATATATCTATATAAATATTGCAAACCAATAACCATTAACTACTCAGCGCGCCACCTTGCTCTTTGCAATAAATAAAAATCAACGGCAATTAATCCGCCATAATATATGCACACCAGGACCTTGAAGCATCGAAAACAACTGCATATGTTATACATACACTGCATACACACAAACGTATAATATACATACAAACTCATATAGAGAAATTTATACATATGCACAAATATTATACTTATATACGAATTTATACATTTGCAGAAATATATATTTATGCACAAATATATAAATATATGTTTGCACAACTATATAAGTACAAATATAGACACAATACTACTACTATGTACTACTTCTACTACTGTTAATTCTACTACTAATACTACTACTACTACTAATACTACTACTTCTACTCTACTACTATATATACAAATATAAACATAAACACAAGAGAATCCTTAAACGAATCACGCACATGAATAGAAATCCATGCACAGGAGGCTTGTGTTTGTGTACATCTACGAATTTATGTTTGTATGTATATTTATGTTAAACATATGTACTCCGTATGTCTCCATTACATGTTGCGGGATAAATGTGTGTATTCATGTATCTTCACATGAATCACTATTATCATTCTTTACATGCAATGAAGGTACACTGGAGATTTAATTATTTTTTTCTTCATTTAAATTGTCTTTTCTAGTTTCCTACAAAAACATTTATACTCTACCTTTCAATGTAACTTAAACCTTTGCCTACGATGTGTTATGATGGTGACGATAAATTCACCATCTCTGCAGAGGTGATACTTGTTTAAATATTGTCTTTTCTAGTTTTCAACAAAAAACACTTTCCTCTCTTTCAATGTAATTTAACCATCTGCCTACGATGCGTTATGATGGTGTGACGATAAATTCACCGCACCACTGCTCAAAGGTTACATTGTTTCAATATTGTCTTTTCTGGTTTTCAACAGAAATCACCTATTCTTCCTTCTTGGTCTGATCGCACTCTTCTTTAGCATCTGAAAAACAAAAGTTATTTTAGAAAGTGGATCAATAAAAACTTAACAGTATGAGTTGAGATAGTGACGATAAATTCTTGATTGGCTCTCGCTCTTCTTCAGCATCTGAAACAAAAAATTATTTTAGAAAATATATCCCGAATTAAAAACTTGGTATGAATCAGTTATGATAGTGATGGAAAATTCATCATGAAGATGTTATACTCGTTGCAGTATTGTCTATTCTTCCTCTTCTTTCCCTATTCTTCCTCCTTTAACGGATTTCGCTCCTCTTCAGCATCTAAAAAACAAAAATTATTTTAGAAAATGTATCAAGAATCAAAAACTTGAGTCCCATAAGTACATGAGTTTTAATAATAAAAAATGAGTACCTGATTAATTTTCATCCATCACCGACAGCTAGTTCACTAGTTCTCGATTCGGAAATCGCTCCTCTTTTTCTGCTTCTTTTGTTTTTGCCCAAAAAAAGTAAAAAACGAATCGAGCAATGTCGCCACTGCCGCCGCCGTGCCGACGTTCAAGAATATGTTGGGAGAAAGGAAGAAACGGTTAAGCAAGAAGTGCGATCTTCAAAAATTCGCCTTCCCTTTCACTTCGCCGACCACCGATACAGATGTATGTAATTCTACTGGGTGGCCAGAAAATATCACCTCACAAATTCCAGGGATATTTCAGTAGTAATTGACTGTCATCGAACAAAACGGCATCTATCACTGAGTATCCATCTGCAATTAGAGAGTGAGAGAGAAAAAAAAAATTAGTTACAATCAAGTATAACGTTAGAAACAAGAATAAATACAAAATGATTTACTATAGAATGAAAAGAAAGAAGAGTTGAAAATACAATTTTCGTAAAAATATTTTTATTTTGAATCACTGAGTAGATACCAATGACGATGAGGCGGTCCAGTGCTCAAGGTTCTCCCCAACGGAGTATAGATAATCCGGTCTGTATATTAATCTCTTAAAGTGAAAAAAATGTATATAGGATACATAATAATATATATTTATTATATATTATTTGTATGTATATGTTGGTATAAATATATGTATATATATATATATATATATATATATATATATATATATATATATATATATATATATATATATACTTATATTATATATACATTTAAGCCCGCTCTGACAAAGACATTTCAGTTTGTCTTTATTTCTGTTTAACAAGTAGCAATTAATCGAACATTTAAATGAAATTTATAAATAGAATTTGAAAGAAACATCATATTTGGAAAATGATTGTAAATTGCCGAAAAAAAGTAAAACTGTGCCAATCCTGTAATTATGACCTTGGTATAAAAAAGTTCGTACAATTTAATAACATATGACTCACTCTGTCTCTCTCTTTCTCGGTTCTTCATTTAGGGGGCATTCGTGATTGCAATGCACAAGTCTGCACCCTTTTCGTGATTCCTCTTCTTGAGTGGTGTATAATTTCGGCGCAAGAACTTCAAGTGCACAGCTCTGATACCTTTATATTAATACGCACAAATACATGTGTACACGCATATAATATGATAGAATATAATAAAAATAGGGACTTACATTTATAATTATAATAAATATACGTATATATATTTTATAATACATACTATATTTATATAATTATATATATTATATAAAATATTTATAAAACACAGTAAATTAAAATTAATATAATTATAATTATCCTTTAGAAAAAAAGGCATGAGTGAGAAATCTCGAATTTAAATCAAAAATAATCGAATGTACTCTCGCAGTTATAGCAATGAAAATGAAACATAGAAGGGCACACTCACATTTCCAAATCTAAAGAAATATAGTACTTTAAAAACTTACACATAGCTAGAAGATGGAGCTACAGTCGCTCTTTTTAAGATCATTATGAAGTGACAATTTTTATTTTAATCAACTTAACTTTAAAAAAATTAAATAAAAATTTAGGTAATTTTAAATGAGTCACAATAAACAATTTAAAATTAAATAAAAGGAACAATTTAAATAGAAAAAAAGAAGAAAGCAAAGAAGTCGACCGCGAAGCGGTCGACGAAGCGCTAGTAAATATAAATAACGCAAACATAACTTTAATAACCTCTAAATTTGAATTAGTAAAAATGTTTACAAATTTAAATTAGTGACTGACTGACTTTTTGTTTTTGATATAGTAAATTTGACTAATAGACAGTAATTTCTACTAATTTATTAGTAAAATGTACTAATTCAAAAGCAAAAAGTCAATTACTAATTCAAATTTAGAGAGTACATACATTATATAAATATAAAAATTATTTTCCTTATTAAAAAACTACTCGGACATTAAAGATTTGATTATTATAATACTTTTGTAAAGAATATATAGAAATAGATCATTTTTATAATAATAGCTTAAACATGAGTAGTGTGTAGTTGCAATATAGTACCTTGTAGTATTACTAGTGGAAATAGTAACAATAACAACAAAAATAAGTCACGCAAGAAACAATACTTACAAACACAAAAATTCACTGGAGGAGCGTCATCATTAAAGGGAGCACTGTCCCAAAGAAGTGGGCGAGCAGGGTGACTCTTGGAGATTCACAAGTCGGACGCAAGATGACCGCACCGACGATGGTCCGTCGCCGTCGTCGACACAAGGGGGGAGAGGGTAAACTCAGACACAAAACTTCAGGGGCTTCACATTCCACATTTCCAGCCAAACTTACACAAGAGACACTTTTTATTCCTTAAAATTTTTATATTTCAATTGTCCCATTTTTTTATAATGACAAATATCCCAAATTCATATAAATATACATTCAAAAGCGCCAGAGTAAGGATAAGTCAGCATACCCAGGGTGTAATAGGAACTTTAATGTGTAGAAAGGATTAAACAATTTAGGGTTTAAAAATAAGTATTTTAAAATAAGTCTGTACTCTAAATAAAAAT